GTAGAACGACTACAATTAGCATTACTCTATTTGAAAACATTTTTTTCAAATCACTACTCTATCTTTGCCAGGAAATTAAGTATCAATACTTGAGTCGGCAAAGGTCAAGATAAAATCTCATACAATTTAAGAGCGATGATTCTGTTATTAAAAATGTATTCGGGAAATTAAATAATTTCCCAACAAGTTATTCATACATAAACTCTGCAGTGGGTCATCAAAAGATAAATTAATTACACAGCCATGGAGAATAGTCATATTTTCAACTCACATACGATACATTTTCCATTTAATTCAGTTTGAAATTTAAAATGTACAAAATGCTCAAGGTAAAAATTAATCAATGTCGCGTGAGCTAGGACTCCTACTAATATAATTACACCTGTAATTGTAAAATAGAAATTTCCAGTCAAAAAATAATTTCTAAAACTTCATAAACACTGAACCCAAAATTCAAAAAGCACTAGAGAAAATTAGCTGAATAGTCAAAATTGGTAGGCGGACGGCAAATTTGGACCACGGCCTAATTCAATAATAATAATAGTAATAAATGTTGAAATTAATTATTATGGGATAAAATTAATCGTACAAATAAATTTGGAGTTAAGATCATTTAGTTTTCACAATAATTTATTGAACCAGCTAAATCACCATAGATAGAAATTATAATCCATGATTAAGGTTGGTCGGTCAGTCGATAAATATTTCAATCCAACTGTTATATATAATGGAGTTGGCAAAGTGATATAGACGAAGCACATGTAAACGATACAAGTACTGGTAACTTTTGATTCTTTATACAATTTCTCTCTCGGAAATTGATGTAGTCACTTTCGCTGGTTCAGTGGGAATGGTCGATATTTTCACGAAACATGGCAAATTTATGACATTGAGTGCATCATTACCAGAAAACACATATGGACAAAAACACATGCATCATCAAATTCTTTACTCTTTTGAAGAAAATTTCAACCACTAATCATAGTGTAACACAACTAATATTGAAAGCGCACTCGATATCTACCTTACAAGTTGCAATCTTAAAAAGGTATTGAATGTAGCACAATGGAAAATTATTTTCCAAAGTAATCATTTCAACAACCAAAGAGTTTTACTTTAGTCCATTACTTTTTTAATCCAAAGACATGAATAGTCTTATCATGCCTTCGTTAAAACAAATCATGAGAATAAATTAGAATTGTTTCGTTGAAGCCTTGTATTGTAAATGCATGATATCTACAAGTGTTACATGGGTTGAGCAATGAATAGAGAGACTTGAACGAGCTCGCGAGTGACTTGCGTTTAGCTATAAAATACAATTTTTTGTTAAAAAAGAGGTGAGTTGCGAATGGCTCACTCTACCATGGAATGAGCGCAATCCATTCCATGAACAAGTATGAACAGAGTCAAGCTCAGAGGTGGGTGAGTTGAATGACTTGATTCTAATATCCTACTTGGTAGCCATTTTCATTTGTTTTGTAGAAAAATTATGTACGTTATGTAGTCATCATGACAGCTGCATTTACTGATAAATCCAAGTGAAATTACCTTTATACCCCTTTACATTTATTTCATTGATTTGTCAGGTATACTACGAAGAATAGCATGGCTCGGTAGGAAATACCATTACGGCACAATATGAGGCGGGGTGGACATCGGATTAGCTGGTATATAATAGTCTGGATGNAATTTGTTTTGTATAAAAATTATGTATGTTAGGTAGCCATCGTGACGGCTACATTTATTAATAAACTCAAGTGAAATAACCTTTGTACCCCTTTACATTTATTTCATTGTATACTGAGAGTGTCATTTTAGAAAATTTGCTCTCTATTGAGTCAAAAAGGACGGTTGCAATGGGTCCATGTTACTATTCTAACGGTCAAAAAATTTCTGAAAATGCCAAGAAAATGGCTACCAAACACAGTGTAAAATAAAAATCAAACAGAGTCAGTAAATAAGAGGAATTCTATTATTTTTAAAACTTCAACTGAGACTTCGCCCCATTTAACACCCAACGATATAACAACATAAATGTCTCTCACTCTCTCTTTCTTTTTGTTCCTTTTTTTTTTTTTTCAATTTACCACTTATTATTATTATTATTTGGAAAAATAATGGAGAAGCTACGAAGAGGCTTCCTTGGATAGTTGGATGGTGACAATTTAAACGGCTTCTAGAATAACACGTTAAAACTTTTGGTTCTGGATTCGAGAGATATTCATATTTTGACTCAAACCAATTAAATATTACATGAAAAAAGTAAAATAATTTACCAATTCAATATTTTTGTCTAAGCATATGCCTCAGCACCCACTCCATTTTTTCTCTTCCTCACGCGAAATCCTTCCTCAGCAAGAAAGTGGAATCCCCAACCCCTACGCCTACTTCACTAATTCCTTAAAACTCCCCATTTCACCAACAAACATAAACGCGTGCCATCAACTACACCAAGCAAAACAAAACAAAACAAAACCCACCTGAAATTCTTGAATTTCTCCACCGCTTATTAATGTTCCTTGTGACTTTTTTCTGATTCACGGACATAAAATCTTGGCCGCATTTTCTTACCTAAAGTTCTGTATAATACAGCTGAAAGATTGAAACTTTACCTCCGCCATGCACGACGGCGGCCACCACCACGAGGATCCTGAAATGCCTTCCCTTGACCTGCAGAATCTGAAGGTAATATCGGCTCTCGGCCGTGGGGCGAAAGGCGTAGTTTTCTTGGTACAAACAGAGAAGGGAGAATTACTTGCTCTGAAAGCAATACTAAGATCTTCGGTTGAGAAAGGGAAGGTCACAAGCAATATCGATCCTAATGAGTACAGAAGAATTTGCTTCGAAAGAGAAGTATTGAGCTCTTTACATCATCCACTTCTACCCAAACTTAATGGAGTTTTACTCACAGAGAAAATTGTTGGATATGCAATTGATTACTGTCCCGGTCGTGATCTCCATTCATTGAGGAAAAAGCAAACTGAAAAGATGTTCTCCGATGATATTATAAGGTAATTTAATCTTCATATCAGTATCGACAATACTGTAATGTGATATATACATTTATTGAAAAAAATTTGCTCTTTTTTCAGATTTTATGCTGCGGAATTGGTGCTGGCATTGGAATATCTTCATGGATTGGGAATTGTCTACAGAGATTTGAAGCCAGAAAATGTAATGATTCAAGAAAATGGGCATTTAATGCTAGTGGATTTCGATCTATCAACTAAACTTTCTGTAAAATCACCAGAAATCCGTTCAGAGAGAAAATTAAAATCCAGTCCAAAATCGGAGCCAAGGAAGAAGAAAAAGATGATATCCCATCTCTTCAAGGTCCGCGACTCGGGCGTTTCGCCGGCCGACTCGGTCCATCCGAAGGAAATCGGCGGCGACACGGTAGATTCAGACTCTGATTCGGTGGAGAAGTCCAACTCATTCGTCGGAACAGAGGATTACGTGGCGCCAGAGATCATATTAGGTAACGGCCACGATTTCGCAGTCGACTGGTGGTGCTTAGGTGTCATGTTGTACGAAATGCTTTACGGCAAGACGCCGTTTCGGGGGGAAAACCGGAGAGAGACATTTTTCCGGATTTTATCGAAGCCGCCGGATCTTACCGGAGAATTAACGCCGTTAAGGGACTTGATCGGAAAATTGCTTGAAAAGGACCCACGAAAGAGGATCTCCGTTAAGGAAATCAAGAGCCACGAATTTCTTAAAACGGTTGATTGGGATTTTATTTTGGAGATGCCCCGGCCGCCGTTCATTCCGTTACTGCCGGCGAATGAGGACATGGATGGAAATGAGGTAATTGATGTGGAGTCTTATGTCCAAGGGGTGTTTGAAGTTGGTGAAGATAAGAATATAGAGAAAAATAAAAATTCAGAAAGTAATAAGAATAAAGATGTGTGGGTTGAAGGATTTAATCATCCCGCACAAATTCAAAATAACGATTTTTTGATATTTTAAATATTGTAACACTAATTATATTTATCACTATACATTGATGATGGAAGGATATCATAATTATCATTACATATTAAAATTACAAGAATAATTATATATTTCATTTAGATGAATTTTCTGGTCTAAATTATTATTTTTTTTTATTTATTTTTTTATACTCGAGTCTATGTGATGACGTTAATAAACTTGAAATATTCAATAACTTGAATGAACGTCTTGTGACTTTTAAGTGAGAATCGAAAAGTTTGCAAGCAAGATTTTAGTGGCTCAAACATTCATTTGTTGAAGAGAAACTAATTCAAATTGTAGTTTTTAATGTTTATCTCGATCTATCATTAAAAAAAATTATGTTTCACTCAAATTAAGCATCCTTCCTTTTAGGGGGTGTTTGATGGAGATTAAAAATTAATTTTTGGTAAATTGTGATATAAATTTTTGAAATATGTGCTTAAAAAAGCTGTGAGATCCATAAAAGATGTGATTAATATTAATTGTTTGACTTTGACTTAAATTTAAATTTAATTTTAATCAGAAACAAATAGAGCCTAAATATGAGTTTTTATCATATACAAGAATGATTATATATTTCATTTAGATGAATTTTCTGGTCTAAATTATTATTATTTTTTATTTATTTTTTTATACTCGAGTCTATGTGATGACGTTAATAAACTTGAAATATTCAATAACTTGAATGAACATCTTGTGACTTTTAAGTGAGAATCGAAAAGTTTGCAAGCAAGATTTTAGTGGCTCAAACACTTATTTGTGAAGAGAAACTAATTCAAATTGTAGTTTTTAATGTTTATGTCGATCTATCATTAAAAAAAATTATGTTTCACTCAGATTAAGCGTCCTTCCTTTTAGGGGGTGTTTGATGGAGATTAAAATTTAATTTTTAATAAATTGTGATATAAATTTTTAAAATGTGTAGTTAAAAAAGATGTGATTAATATTAATTGTTAAAAATTAATTTTTGGTAAATTGTGATATAAATTTTTGAAATATGTGCTTAAAAAAGCTGTGAGATCCATAAAAGATGTGATTAATATTAATTGTTTGACTTTGACTTAAATTTAAATTTAATTTTAATCAGAAACAAATAGAGCCTAAATATGAGTTTTTATCATATACAAGAATGATTTCGGTTCAACTAATATTTTCAAAATATAGTTTTCAACTTCTCTTTTGAATAAAGTCGAAACCCCCAAACCTAATGTTAGAACACTATTTTGATTTTTATTTTTTTTTATTGAAAACAAAAATTAGGAAATTTTCCTACAAAATCCTAGAAAAACTAATAGCTTTGCTTCGCCGCCCACCTATGACTTGGATTTTGAAGCCGATTAGGCGCAACCATTTCCTGCCATAACTAGCACAGCAATGGGCAACAACTTGCAAATGCAATTGTTTCTCGACTGCAGTTGATTTTTTCCCCCAATGCCAACCACCCACCGATGCCACAAACACGTTTCACTAGAAGTGTAAATGCACGATTAATCACACAACAAACCAGGAATTCGACATCAATTCTATCGTAATCCCAAGTATAACTAGATCATGACTTCTAACCAATTCATTGTCCTCGTAGTAGATAAGGATACAATCATCAAGTGACCACATGAAAGCAACACTTAGTACATCATATAGTTACATGCCATGCGAACCAAGTCAAGTATTTTACCAGGGAACTCCTGCATTCAGACTATAATAGAGACATTTGATAAGGTAGGTCACTTATGGTACAAAACCTAGATGAATGCAAAAAGACCGGGTAAACATGAACAAAAGCAAGTACCAAAATTACCTTGATTAAAACGAGCACAGGTTTTAAGGAGTAGAGGAGAATGGGCAAATTGTGCATAAATTTAGACCACAAATAGAAACGAACAAGAAATAGAGCAATGCAGGAAAAAATGTAGAAAGTAAATTAAATTGTCGTTGCATAAAGTAGCATGCCACAGTTTAAAAAACTTCAGAATACGAACAAAATCGCCCAGATCAGTGTCCCGTCAAATATTCTAATACAACCTAATGAAGTAAATGAAAAACAACTGCTACTGCAAAGCTCACTCATCCTCTTGGCTACGCAACCTAGCGAGTTTGTTGGTCACAACAACATCCAACTGCGCCGCACGCTCAACAATTTCCTTTCTTTTCTTTGTAGACACATTGTGAGCTATCTCCGCACAGTATGTCCTGAAAATAAACAAACTAAAGGATTAGATATACATTTTTTATTTCATACAAGACAGAGAGAAGAATTATAAACCTGTTGTGCATCATCAAAATTTCAAGTTCTTTGGCATTGTGGACAACAAATTTCTTAAATCCATTAGGGAGATAATGGCGAGTCTTCTTGTCTGAACCATAACCAATGTTTGGCATCAGTGTGCATCCTTTAAATTTTCTCCTGACGCGTGAGTCAATACCCTTGGGCCTACGCCAGTTTGTCTATAACAAAACCAAACATCAAGAATATTATCCAACAGTTGAGCCAACAATAGGCATTAAAGAGATAATGGAATTCATGGAGGATCAATACTCGATTGGTATTGGGGAAACTAAAGTGTCTCCAAACAGATAAGCACTTGGACATACAGAATAATTGATTGTATTAAAATGCATAATTCCTATTTATAATTCTTTAATGAGCATATCATCATAAGATGACAACTGAACCTTGGGGAGTATAGGCATAACATTATGCACACAAACTGGATTATAATTATCCATACAAGTTAATTTGACATTGTTATTATCTGAAACGATGATCTAAAATCAATTTGACACCCTCATCATGCAACAAAAAGTTCGTGTTCTTGATCAGTATTAATCCATAATAGTAGGTAGAATTTCATATTCAAGCATTGGGGAGTTTTTACCAGTATAACCTCAAGGAGGTACTGCATTACACGATAAGGAGAAGCATAGATAAAGTGGACAAGAAGGGTACCTTCAGGGAGACATATCGATCACTCTCATGCCTCTTGAACTTCTTGACACGCTTCTTGATAATCTTCTTGTCGAGCAAAGGAACAGCCATTGTTTCTACATGAGTATTACCAATTTGCATTACCAACTATTATAGCAAAATTCACGTATAGGGGGAAATAGGAACGGACAACAGTACATTTATAAATTTTTCAGCAAAATGAATAGTAGCAGATAATCGCCAATATATTAACACAGCTCAAAAATCAGCTTGATCTGATAATAAATTTTCAAGCCTGCTGCATGTACTGTATCTGTGTTTACATGTAGCACATTCTGCCTTGGAAGGTTCTCCAAGGTCAAATAATTAATAAGTAAACTAAACATTCAGCATACCAAAAGTAAATGGCTGAACCATTTCTAATTCGTTAATCTATTCCAGCTATTACACAAAACTGACTCGGAAAATACCCTAAATTTAATAACCATAACAGAGATCTCAAAAATTGCTCCCTAAAAAAGGTTCCATTTCAGGTAATTTAGTTTTCCATAATTCAAATGAAAATAAACGATGCCAATCAAATCGAACTTCGAGAGCAGATAAGACATCAAAAATCTGAATAAATGTGCATATAATGAAAAATAACGCTGTAAAATGAAAGTGCACATTAAGCAAACGCAAAAAAACAGTATGAGAAGAAAAAAACAAAGTGAAGCTGCGTCTGCAGGTAAGTCCCCCATTGTATACATAATAGTATGAGTGCCAGAGGAAGAGGAAGAGGAAGAGGAAGAGGAAGAGTAGAGCTAACCTGGTGGTGCCGCCGCAGCGAGATCTCCTACTGAGTGGTGGAAAATTGAGTTGCACGGAGGTGATGAAAGCGTGAGCTAGGGTTTTGAGCTTTTGTAGTGGGTGTTGTTAGGTTTAGCATTTAGTCCTATTTTTCTGTATATTGGACTGGGCTGTCTACCTTCAAAAGAAGCCCAACTCCTAAATTGCCTGAGGCCCAGTAATAAAAATTGTTGAACATTAACCCATAAAAGCTAAAAGGTTAACAATTAAGCACACGTTCATCTTCCACTCTTTCAAAACTCTTTTTTCTATATAATCATTTTCAACCATATATTTACACAATAAAATATGAGAAAATTATACACAGCCCTACTTTTAAATTACTATTTTCATAAATCTCGATTCAAGTTTCATATTGCAAAATTCAGGTTTTAATTATTAATTTAAAAATATTTTTTTATTTTTATATCTATTTACAATAAATTAATTTATATATACTCCCCTACCCTATATACCCCCAACCAAACTCTAAATCAATTGAACACATCTCATTTCCTCTCAACCTATTTCTTCTCCCGTCTCTATAATCAACGTCACCGCCGCCGCTTCTTCACTTCCTCTCCCTCACTCATCTTCACTCTCCCTCTCGTCTCTTCTGTCTGGGCTCCATCATCGGCCGACACTGTTATGCGATGGCGATTTCTCAGGCGGCTCCCTTCTCCTCCTCTTTTCCCCTCTTCTCCCTCCAGGCCATTCCTATCACCACCTCCACCCCTTTCTCTCTCTCTCCCTTCCCCCAAAAGAAATGGCCATCCCAGCCGCTTCCTTCGCCACCAGATCTGAATCGCGATGGTGGTGATTGGGTTATTTTTGTGCTGTGGTGATACGGTATGGGATGGTCGTGGGCTGCGCGTCATTGTCGGGATCCGCACCGCCATTGAACATTGCTGCAATCTTAGGTACGATTCTTAGCTACTGTTGGTGTGGCCGTGGGTTTGGTATTTTTCGATTCCATTTTTTTGGTGGTGTTTGCATTGTGGTGGCGGTTTGTGGTGCCTGAAGCTACGATCTGAGTTAACGCCCGCAGCAGTGATTTGGGATGGTTTTTACAGGTGGTAGTGGTGGTGTTGGAGGCGGGGCGGGGCGG